GAAGGGAAAAGAAAAGAAAAAGGAGAGAAGGAGAGGAAGAAGGGGGAGAAGGAAGAGAAAGAGAAGAGCAAGGGGAGGAGAGAAAGGAAAAGAGAGAGAGGGAAGAGAGAGAAAAGAGAAGAGAAGGGGAAGAGAGAGAAAGAGAAGAGAGGGGGAGAGAGAGAAAGAGGAGAGAGAGGGAAGAGAGAGAAAGAGAGAGAGAAAGAGAGAAAAAAGAGAGAGAGGGGAGAGAGAGAAAGAGAGAGGGGAGAGAGAGAAAGAGAGAGGGGAGAGAGAGAAAGAGAAAGAAGAGGGGAGAGGAGAGAGAAGAGAGAGAGGAGAGAAGAAGAGAGAGAGGGAGAGAGAGAAAGAAGAGAGGGGAGAGAGAGAAAGAGAGAGAGGGAGAGGAGAGAGAGAGAGAGGGAGAGAGAGAAAGAGAGAGAGGGAGAGAGAGAGAAAGAGAGAGAGGGAGAGAGAGAAGAGAGAAGGGGAGAGAGAGAAAGGAAAGAGAGGAGAGAGAGAGAGAGAAAGAGAGAGGGGAGAGAGAGGAGAGAGAGGGAAGAGAGAAAGAGAGAGAGGGAAGAGAGAGAAGAAAGAGAGAGAGGGGAGAGAGAGAAAGAGAGAGAGGGGGAGAGAGAGAAAGAAGAGAGAGGGGGAGGAGAGAGAAAGGAGAGAGAGAGGAGAGAGAGAGAGAAGAGAGAGAGAGGGCAGGAGAGAAAGAGAGAGACGGAGAGAGAGAGAGAGAGAGAGAGAGGAGAGAGAGAGAGAGAGAGAGAGAGAGAGAGAAGAGGAGAGAGAAGAGGAGACGAGAAGAGAGAGAGAGGAGGGGGAGAAGAGGAGGGAGAGAGGAAGGAAAAGAAAAGAGAGAAAGGAGAAGATAAGATGAAAAAAACAGGAAAAGAGAGAAAGAGAGAGAGAGAGAGAAGAGAGATGAGAGGAGAAGAGAGAGAGAGAAGAGAGAAGAGAGGAGAGAGGAGAGGAGAGAGAGGAGAAAGAGAGAGAGATAAGAGGAGAGGGGAGAGAGAGAGAGAAAGAGAGAGAGGGGAGAGAGAGGAGAAAGAGAGAGAGGGGGAGACGAGGAGAGAAAGAGAGAGAGGGGGAGGAGAGGAGAGTAAGAGAGAGAGGGGAGGAGAGAAAGGAGGGAGAGAGAAAGCGGGAGAGAGAAAGCAGAGAGAGAAAGAGAGAGAGGGGAGAGAGAGAAAGAGAGAGAGGGGAGAGAGAGAAAGAGAGAGAGAAAGAGAGAGAGGGGCGAGAGAGAAAAAAAAACGGAGCTCTTGATTAAATTAAAGTTTAATATAAAAAAGTAACCTATGACACAAAGAAAACTCTCCATTTTTCCCATTAGTTAATTAGCACAAATTATCTTTTCCTTCCTTACCTGACAAAAATGCGGCGTCTCCTTTCCTAAACACATCCCTCACAACCTTCTTCTTGGAGGCTGTCTCATCTGCGTAGCCATGGAAGTCACGCACAGGATCTCCTCGGACGATCTTACCCACAAATTCTCCTGCTTCACCTGAAAATAGGTGGCAGGGGAGGTAAGTAACTGATGAATATTTGAGATGTAAGAATAATCGTTGATGATGATGATAATGAAAAACAACTATTATCATAACAAACCAAAAACAGCTGGAATCAGTTGCAATATGGCTGGCTCAACTTCTTGCAGAGTCACATGGGAGGCAGACTAAACTTTGATTGAAAAACGTAAGTGAGAAATTCTATATCTTCAAACTAGCCCTCCTATCAGATCATAAGGGTGCAAAAACCTATATCACCATGACAATCATGAGCAAGACCTGGTTTAACAACCGAGTGCAGATCCATCAAAAAATGTTAGTTTCCACTGGGTGTGCTGAGCAATCAGAGACGAATAAAACCTATTGCCTAAGTTGACAACCTAATAGAAATAGAGAGAGAGAGAGAGGAGAGAGAGAGAGAGAGAGAGAGAGAGAGAGAGAGATGAGAGAGCAGAGAGAGATGAGAGAGAGGAGAAGAGAGAGAGAGAGAGGAGAGAGAGAGAGAAGAGAGAGAGAGAAAGAGAGAAGAGAAGAGAGAAAGAGAGGGAAAGAGAGAGAAAGAGAGAGAAGGTAGAGGGGAAGAAGGGGAGAGGGGAAGAAGAAGAAGGGAAGAGGGGAAGAGAGAGGGAGAGGGGAGAGAGAGAGGGGAAGAGGGGAAGAGAGAGGAAGAGGGGAATGAACGGAGAGGAAGAGAGAGAGGACGAGACGGTAGAGAGAGAGGAATGAGAGAGAGAGAGAGAGAGAGGAAGAGAAAGCAGGATGAGGTAGAAGGAGAAGGAGAGGATAGAGAGCATGAGAGAGAGAGAGGAGAGAGAGGTTGAGGGAGACGAGAGAGAGTCGGAGAAAGGTGAGGATCGAGAGGAGAGAGAGTAAAGGTGAGGAGATGAGAGGCGAGAGCATGAAAGATGAGATAGAGGAAAGGTGAGGGAAGAGAGAGAGAGGTGAAAGAGGAGAGAGAGGTGATGAAAGAAGAGGGTGTGAGATATATGAAAGAGAGAGAG